TTGTTATATTTATTCTTCTTTTAATGTCCACTTTTATTTTTTCATTCTTTTATTGATTTATTTTTGTATTTTGGCACTCCCACTGCTCCATAGACTGTGTTAGGAACAACAAACACCCGTATTGATGTCCAGGTAATAACTGAGCTCCAGTGGTCTCCCATAGACATATGTAATAATGGCCTTTATTATCTATTATTTATTATCTATTATATATTGTGTATTATATATTATCTATGTGGTCTCTCATACATATATATAATAATGGCCTTTATTATCTATTATCTTTGTGGTCTCCTCACAGACACCGTAGAGCTGCGCGCGACCCGAGCTGATGTGCACGCGGCTCTCACCTTGTTCTGCCTTAGGAGCCAAATTTCAGGTAATGTGTTTTTAAAAAAAATATATTTCAGCTACTTCTGTAAAAACGCTGTTTATTCTGGTCTAGACATCATTGGGTTTGATAGTTTTTCATCTTTTATTTTTATTGTCACTAAAGGGACGTTTGTGTTGCTAACCACTTAGCTAGTTAGGCTAGGCTAGCCAGTTTTGTGTTGCTAACCACCGAGCTAGTTAGGCTAGGCTAACCAAACGAGCTAACGCTGCGGGGAGAGTGAAGAGAAAGCGAAACGGTGAGAATTCAGACTCCATGTATTTTACTGCTGTTTTTAATTCTCTGTAGTCATTACAATGCAGACAGAAATAAGGACAGCAGCTGCCTTTATGAGTCAACCACCTGTACAGTTTGCTCAACCAACCGACTTTAAGCTAACTATGATAACGTTCGTAGATTAGCTGACTGTGCTAACAACTGGTAATTAGCTCTCAGTATCAAGCATTGAGGTGTGACTGAACCAGGTGCTTCTGTTAAATATTTCTGCATTGTAGTGCAGTTTTGACGTTTACATTTGAAGATGCTGCAGAGTCCAAATTATTTTCAAACAGTTCTAGATAGTTTGACTGTTAGCTGAACACAGCGTTGAACTTCATGGTGAGGAAGTGATTTTAATTTGCTGATGAAAGCTTTTACTTTGAAAAGGTCAGTGTCGGACATGGAGATAATCCTCCTGCTGGCTCGATCAGTTTGATGCACAGGGTCGGTCCACATACAGAGGGTTGGACTGTGCTCAAGTGGGGATATTTGAATCGGTTATTTACAATATTTGTTGAAATTCTTGCAGCCTGTTCTGATAAATCTCCTTGAGAACGATGCTGCTCAGGGTTTGTACATCCGGCCAGTGGCAGCTTCAGACACACGAGGGAGACGGAGCTCAGCGGATCTCTGTGATTAGTTATTAGAAGTTTGTTTGTTTACATTCATACACATCGGTTCTGCAGGTAGATGTAGCTGTACTGTGTCTTAACCACTGAGGTAAAAGGTAAAACAAAAGGCATCGCCAGTGGGGATAAATATGTAGAAGTTTGGGATGCCTCTTCGTTCTGATCGCTGATTGGGCGGAGCACATCATGTGACCAGGAATCGCATTAACTCGCAGTCACTATGGCAACATCCTGCGGCTAAAGAGTGCAGCTCTCGGCGGGTTTTAGTTGCTGAGTAGTAAATGAACCTCAGTGTGTTTCTGTACATGTTGCCTCCTCGTAGTGATGCTGAACCGTCAGTGAGGGTCGGAGTGAGCGGCATGGATATGCTGCTCCATCGCTTCTCGGCCTGTTGGCCAAGATTAAGTTTAGTAACTGTTCTCATCAGTTTAACATCTGATACGTCTCCTATCAGGGGATCTTATATTGAATTCACTTTTGGAGCAGGGAGATGGAATAGGAGCTTGTTCCGTCCAGTCCACGCATCGGTCTGGTATTTGCAGTATGTCAAGAAATGGTGCATCTCCTCTCATATGTGTAAGACAAAGGATGAACCTAAGTCCTGTAACCATGTACAGGATCTGGATAGTGCATATCATTTATCTCCTGTCATTGTTACATGTTGTAGCTCCAATTAAGCAAAGAGTTATATCTATTTAATTATAGAAAACCCACAATGAGATGTTTAGTTTGAAGACATCTGGTCATGTGTGGCTATAAAGTGTAAAACCCCTTTATGCTGCTGCTCCACAGAGACGTCTCAGAGGCTGCTGTGTTCAACTATGTTTCACTAGTTCTCTGTGTTATAAGTCTTTGTTCTGTGGCTGTACGTTAAATCTTCAGTTAATTATATTTTTACTGGAAACGAGCACCACATTTTAGTCACTTGCTTTTATTATTATTTATTACACTGGTTCATTTTGTGAACCATCCAGTAAACCTTTATGTTTTAATGCCAGACTCTCAGTGATGCACTCTGTGGAGACTCTCTGGCATTTTGTCCTTTAAGTATGTAATAAACTAATCGTGCCCTGATGTCTCCCCCAGCTGGTGTAATTACACTGTTAAGCCACTATTAAATCACACACACAAGGACCAGCTGGATTCATGGACACACTAAGATTCAGCTGTGAGAGAAAAAGCCAACGTGTCCTCTCCCTGGTAGAGCTTCACTTAAACAAGCCATCCTTTTTAATGGCAGTGAGCTGCAGCATTAGATGTTATACGTCACCCACAGGAGTCAGACATGAACATGTTCTACACGCTGTGGGTTTCATCGCAGCAAAGACATGGAGGCCTGCAGCAGCCGTGGTGAGAAGTTCTCAGCTTGTATTACTTCATACTACTATGGTGCAATATATATAGGTATAGGTATAACACACTGCCTGTTTAACGAAGCACTAATGAGAGACGCTGTGACACACGTTAGCATTTATTGCTAATGATTAATTTCAAAAGGCCGTTCTGGACCGTGTCCAGCTGCTGGTTGTGAGCACAGGCCTTCTGGCAGGCTGTGGCTGTGTTGGTCAGACTTCAGGGATATGAACAGGGCGGCTGTGGCTCAGGCGGTACAGCGGGTTGTCCTCCAGTCACAGGGTTGATGGTTCGAAGTGTCCTTGGGCAAGACCCTAAACCTGAAGTCGCTCCTGATGGCAGGCAGCAGCTTGCATGGAGCTCTGTGGCCATCAGTGTGTGAATGTGTGTGAATGATAAACACATTGTGAAGCACTTTGGATAAAGGCTCTATGTAAGTGCAGACCATTTACCATTTACCATGAACAAGTGATGGACCAGCAGTCATGTGTTTGTGGCTACAGCCTCCAGAACACAAAGTTATTCCACTTCTTTGTCCTTCTTATGTTCTTCATGTTTTAGAAAGAAAAACGATGATGCGATGTTAGTTGAACATCAACAAATTAACAGTTAAAATGTCGTCACAACCCCACTGGAAAAACACCAAAATGAAGCAGAAAACCAGCAGTAAAAGGTGTTTTTACTGAAGTTTTCTACACATCACTGTAACAAAGAATAATCAGTTACTGCATCTCAGTCTGCAGCTGAAACATTGCAAACGATGTTCATTTCAATATAACAAACAGTCCGTTATCAAAGAGGAGACGTCTTCTCAGATAAAGTTCAGGATTATTTCTGCGTGATAGGGAATGAGTTCTGGTCCATTAACTCTCCGACTCGGTCCTGGAGGGTGTGAACCACCTCTGCCAGGATGAACACGTGTGTGTCATCGAGGTCCTTGAGGATGAACTTCTTCCCCAGAGCCATGGTTTCATCCAGGTAGAGGAGGAACTGTTTCATAGCAGGATCACTGGTCAGAGGAGCAGAGGAAAGGGAAAGAACAAGTGTGACTGGTTTTAATTAAAGGTTGGAATAAGTGTTTCTGTGACACTGAGGTTAGCGTCCACTCTGTAGTTTGGGGCAAAGTGACGGGAAACTCAACGTACAGGTTCTGTGTTTGTCAGCATTTTAATTATGTTAAACTGTGCAGGACCTTTCAGACAAACCCTCCATGTTGTCTAAAACCCACATTCAGATTTATGAAACATTCCCATTAGTAAAAGGCAACAGAGGGAGATGTGTGTGCTTTATTTCCTCACATGTTTAACAAACTGTAAACTGTCTTCAGCCTCTCTGGAACAGACCAGTGTGACCAGATCACGTATAGTGGACTCAGATCTGGGTTTCTGGACCTGGTCAATTAAACAGCAGAGGACTCTCCGGTTTGTGCATTTTACCAAGTCAGACAAAGCCTTAGCCAATTCAAACGAGGGCTTCAGACAGCACTGAGGGTTCATGTAAGTGACCAGCAGGGCTTCACATCATTAGATGTGGAGAAAACAAGAATCGGTGGTTTGGCGCTGTGAGCTGATTTTAGCTCATGTTCAGTCACAGGATGAAGCTTTCAGAGCAGAGCTAGAGCCTTCCTTACCATTCAACAAGGACACCTTTGTGTACGTTGACCATGTTGACCAACTGGCAGTGGATGGAGAGGAAAGTGATCCGGACCTGCAGCACCACACAGACAGGACGTGTTGTTAATGTGCACTAGTCGGTCTAACAGACAGGGGACAGGAAAGTCCAGTAAAGCCACAGAAAGGGAAATGTCAGACACGATTCAGCCTCGATCTCCCTAACCCTAACCCTAACAGTTTTAAATTAAGATTCCCCCAGGCTCTTTACCTGAGCCCTGCTAGCCTGTCAATGCTAATGTTAGCTTAAAACAATACAATCACGGGCTTATTCTGCTAAATACTGCGTTTTAAAAAAAGGACTGAACAGAACAAGGGAGGTCTGGACGACCTGCTCCGCCTGCTGCCCCCGCGACCCGACCCCGGAGAATGGATGGATGGATGAACAGAACAAGCCTTCAGTAGACATTAACGTACCTGATTACATTTAAGAGAAATAAGAACAGAGACGGCCTGGTACAGACCTGCTAGCTGTAGCTGCTCTCTGCGCTAACTCCTCACAGCATCGTAGCTAACGTACGGTGTGCGGCGAGGGACAATCTCCTGCGAGCCAAAAATCGCGCATGCGGCATATTATTGTATATTATATATATTATATATTATATTGCTTCTAGGGGTTGAAAACATTGTATATATATTCTTGTGCACATTAATACCACGCGTTTGACATTGTTGTTGTACTTTGAATGAATGAAGAAACTAATTAATGCTGAACGGCTGGAAATCCTCCCATCACAGCATCTGTTTCAGGGGTGTCCAATCCTGGTCCTCCAGGGCCACAATCCTGCATGTTTTAGATGTTTCCCTCTTCCAACACACCTGATTCAACTGATCAGGATCGTTATCAGGCTTCTGCAGAGCTTGATGATGAGCTGGACATGCAGGATTGTGGCCCTCAAGGACCAGGACTGGACACCCCTGATCTGTATCAACACTGGACTGTCACAACAACCTGGTACAGTTTCTTCAGTTCTGTCACACCATCAGGAAGTGCTTGTCTATCTATCTATCTATCTATCTATCTATCTATCTATCTAGAGTGCATGCACAAGAGAAACACACTTTCCAATTTTACACGTTTATTGAGTTCATTGCCAGAATTCAGCATTGCTAGTGGCAGTTGCAAGCACATGGAGATTAAAGATCAATTGCTTGATCAGCCCATATATATATATATATATATAAATAAATAAACCAACCTGAACTAATACCTTAATTCAGGCCCACTTGAGGTAAGGCTTAGGGAGGAATACGTTTTGGCACACAATATGACCGTCATACTGTTGTCAGAATAAGATACATGAATATAAAAATACACTTTTAAACCATTGCTCTGGTCAGAAGTACTGAGGAGTACAAGTGGAAATGAAATGTCAGTGCATCATTCAGTAAATATACAAACAGTCTGCATCCTGTGTTAAACTGATATGTCTAAAACGAAAGAACAATTATAGTTAAACAAAATCTTGAATAAATTCTCTTCATTAGAACTTACTTGTAAACATAGTAATTATGTTTTTAAAAAATGCAAACGATCTTTAAAACTCATCTAACGAACTAGTGAGAGATCCAAAAGTAAGAGGATGATTAGGACAACTAAATCTGCACAAAGGTTTCTTTATCACAACTTCTCATAATATTAGTGTGTAAAATAAACGTCATGTCACTAACGATAATCACATCAGTGGTTGTCCATGTCACTGTGCAGCAGTTGTGTGTCCTTTTGGTTTTGGGGGGGTGGTTGTGCTCTTCCACATTTCAAGTATACAGTAGGTTGTGTACGTGTTTGCCTGCTGATGGGTTTCGATCAGTGGCTGATGAAGCTCTGCAGTGCTTCCTGGATGAACTGGAGGCTGCGCTTGTACAAAAACGAGTCCTTCTTCTCTGGCTTACAGATGTTGAGGTGATCTACGTCCACCTCAATGAGCTCCCCGATGCCAAGATCTGAAATCAAACCACAGCAAGCTGAAGGCAACAGGTAGAGC